TTGGTAGTAGTTCTATCCAGCATTCTGCTTCGTGATACATTAGTGCTGCTTTTAAGGAACGGTGCCAACGTTTAATCATACCGTTCGCTTGTGGGTGGTATGCCGTGGTGTAGATGTGTTTTGCTCTTAGAATTTTCATCAAAGCTTTGAAAAATGCTGATTCGAATTGTAGGCCACGGTCTGATGTTATCGTTTGTGGGCATCCAAATCTCGCCACAGAGTTTGACCAAAAGGAAAATAGTATGGTGTTTGTAGTTATGTCTTTTAATGGTGTGGCTTCAGACTACCTTGAAAAGCGATTGATCATTGTTAAACAATAGCGGTACGTTTTGTCCATTTGCATCACAATCACATCGATATGCACATGGTCGAAACGGCTGTCTGGCATATTGATTTTAATTGACCGAAAAGTACTATGTCTGTGAATTTTTACTCGCTGACAGGGTAAACAATTTCGCGCCCATTCAACTACATCTGTTCGCATGGACATACCATGAATTGATGCAAAAACTTTGTGTCGCAAAGATACTGACACATATGGTCGAATTATTTCTGTGAACATATCGCAATAGAAGGAATTATTGTCGTTGAAAGCAATTGCTTGTGGCTTTAAAGATGTTTCTCCTTGCAACAGTGCTTTTAATTCTTGATCGTTTTCATGTTCCTCTGCAACGGTTGACAAATTGCCAGCGGTTGGCAGCGATACGGCTGAAACATGGAAGAGCGCATCTATTACAATATTGTCATTACCAGACAGATGTATAATGGCTGTCGAAAATTGCGAGATGAAATCGAAATGGCGAAGTTGCCGTGGCGACGCCTTTTCTGGTTTCTGTTTAAGCGGTTTGCGGTCGGTTTTGATGACGAGAACTCATGCCTCTAGAACGTATTTGAAAAAACGAATTGCGCTGTAGATTGCTAATAATTCCCTGTCATATGAGCTGTAATTTTTTTCAGTTGTTGAAAGCTTTCTCTACGGCAGCGCCAATACCAACATCAGATGCATTACAGATAAGTGCTAGCTCAGCATCACGTGATGGACGTGCAAGTAGTGCAGCCTTCGCAAATCTGTGTTTACAATTATTAAACGCTTCAAGAGTTTCGGGAGTCAAAGAGATATTTCGTTTGTCATTCTTTTTTACCTTTCGTACCAAATCACTGAGCTGTGCTTGATGTTGCGATAAGTGTAGTATTCAACGCCGATAGTAATTTAGAACACATGGAAAGCGTGCTAGCTCACTGACTGTGTCCGTTTGTTTCCATTATTTTTCGCCACCATATGTAGAGGACTTGCCCATGGGCTTTTTGACAAGCGGCAAATCCCTTGGTCCAGTAATAAAAGCAAGTTTCTGCCCAGATAGCCTTCTGGGACGATCAAACACTATGATGCTTCTCGTTTCCATCTGATGTGACACCACGTGCTTTTGAGTGTCGAGGAATGGCTGCTTCAACACTGGTCGTGTAATATCAATGAATTTTTTGAATAGTTCACTGAACTTGTGTGTCTCGTCTATTGTACATATGGTTGCCGGCGGAGTAGCTGAAAGACTACCTCTTGTGTTGAGCTTCGTCGTCAAGTCTATAAGTTGTTTGTTTCTTAGATCCACTAACAAATAAAAATGGTTTAAAAAATCGGCACCAATAATAACAACTTCGACATCTGCGATGATAAATTGCCACTTAAATGATCTTCGTAAACCTAAGTAGCAGTCCGACACCACTACCACCGTATGATATATGAAAAAGGGAAAGTCCATTATTACATCATCTTTCTTTAAAAGCGGAGTTTAAACTACTTGCTAATAAAAATAAAAACGCGCCTACAGTCTAAAATTTATTTAGTAAGAACTGAATTTTCTCAAATTCTTGGTTCCAATTACTTTCTACTAGGCAAGTTTTATCCGTATTTTTTTTACAATCACAATATAGCGGGAATGACCACATAAGTGGCCATATAAAAAGCTTCTTTATTTTGGCTCAAGTCAGGAATTCTAATTAGTAAGGAATGCCATAATATAGAGAAGTTTATGAAAATTCATGAAGAATGGCATCTAATATGCAAGAATATATATCGTCGAAATCCTGGACAAATTTTAAGAGAAAAAAAATTTGTTCATGTACTATATGATTTATTTGATATTGCGCATGCAAATGCTTTGGAAATGATAACGAATGATGTAGATAAAGAGTTTCTAATATCTCAACGTCAAAAAGGTTGACCTGGTAGTACAGCCGGTGTAAACTTGATGGCGCTAAAGCAATCAAAAAGAAAATTGGAGTGTTTTGAATCTGAAGTGCTTAGAAAAAAAAGTGCTGAAGAAGATTTTAAATCACAAATGGAAGCAGTGAACTCTCAAGATAATATCAGAAATCAATTTGCAATTCATCTTATTGCGATAATACTTGCTATTGCAGACTTTTCATTTGATGATGAAAGTGAAAATGCTAACGAAGAGGAAGAATGTGTAGAGAGCAATATATTTC